AAACAAAACCAAATAAAAAAATATCATAATAAAACACAGCATCATAAAAACAGTATCATTGAGAGCAATAAAAGTGCTGAGTTCAGAGAGCTCTGAGTTTGTACAAAATTCCTAAATAGAGCTAAGGGAAAGTGCAAAATTCAGTGGGAGGGATGGGAGAGTAAAGTCCTTGGGAATTAAAATGTCAGGATTTTAGAATGAAGGGCCATGCTAAAGTAGTTTATTTGTTCAGTTGCCTCCGACTCTTTGTGACCTCATGGACCAGCCCATGCCAGAACTCCCTGTTGGCTGTCGCCGTGAAACCAATCACTTCAGGGATACCATTCATGCACCTTGCCTTTGGTTGGCCCCTCTTCCTTTTTCCTTCCATTTTCCCTCTCATCGTTATCTTCTCCAAGATTGGTGCCTTACCAAGCTACAAATCCCAAGATCGTATAGCACTGAGCCATGGCAGTTCAAGTGGTGTCAAAATGCATCATTTCTACAGTGTAGACACATAGCCATATACTCCTCACTGCATTATATGTAAGCCACAAATATCAGGAATGTTCACTGCAGACAAGGAGAATGCACAACTTTTTCTTATTGTTTTTTAGATTTAAATTCTCTTCAGAATTGATTTCTTTTGGAATATTTTCATTTGTGTTTTGTTAAGCCGAATTTAGTTCATTTATTTTTCATATTTCATATTTCAGTACTTATTTTGGCAATGTAGCTCCCCATCACTGTGTAAGTCAAAGAAAAACAGTGCATGCTAGCATGAAAACTGCTGGTGGAGGGTAGAGGCAAGGATGTTTGTCAAATACCGAAAAGCTTTGTGATCTTAACCACAAAACAATTTGGTGTTTTTATTGGGATGTTGCCCATGGAAAACTACAGTGATGTTTGAGGGTAAGGATGGAACAAATATCTTAAAAAATTGAAATGATACATGAAAAATTGGTATGTTTAATTTGGATAAGAGAAGATTGAGAGGAGACATGATAGCTGTGTTTAAATAGTTGAAAGGATGTCACAATGAGGAAGGGGCAGGCTTGTTTTCTGGTGCTCTAGAAATTAGTAGGACCTTATCACATAATGGTGCTCCATGCAGTCATGCTGGCCACATGACCTTGGACGCATCTATGGACAATGGAGGCTCTTTGGCTAGAAATGGAGATAAGCACCACCCCCTAGATTCAGACATGACTAGACTTAATGTCAAGGGGAAGCCTTTACGTTTTACTTTACCAACACATTTGCCACCGGAATAGCCAAGGATTGTGGTGAATCCGGTGGTACCTGGAGGGGAGCGTGGGAAACCCTTTGCCCCATGGCCTGCATTGTTCTACTTACCTCTAACCCATCCCACAGGGGGAAGCATCCACTGCTCATCTTCCCCCTATTGTTAATAATGCAGCACAGGAAACCTCCTGCGTTGCCACCACACTTCCTCTCCTTTTGCACTATAGAACCCCTTAAGAAATAGCTCTAGGTCATGATATGGGATATGGGAGCCAGTGGGCTCTGTGGGGCAAATGGAGAGGAACCGATGTATGCTGCCAATTTTGGTCAATGTGATGAGGTTGTTGGACATATAGCAATGGAGTCAAATTGCAGGAAGAGAGATGCCACTTCCTGAGAGTTATTTGTCAGTGTAATATGGTGCTTCAGTGTGGCGAAGTCTCCTTCTTTGGAGAGGTTTAAGCAGAGGCTGGATGGCCACTGTCAGGAGTGCTTTGATGCTTTGATTCTATGTTCCTGCATGGCAGATGGGTTGGACTGGATGCCCCTTATGATCTTTTTCAAATCTATGATTCTAATTATAGAATGTGAGCCTGTGCAGTCAGCTGTGGGTTTCGTTCCTTCTCTTTTTGCATGTGCCCATCCCATTACTTCTGCACATGAGGACATGGATAAAAAAGCAAACAAAATAGGCTTGGTCTGAAATCCTGTTGATGTCAGTGCCTGGGATAGCGGTAAGGGAAAAATATAATGGACAGAACAGCTTGGAAGGGGGAGATACTCAAGAAAGAGACTATTCAGAGATCGCAAGCTGTATTTCTCTTATGTTTACTTTTAGTATTTGATCCACGAAACAGTGCTACTGCTACTGTAGAAAAACATAATTCTGGTTGTATTGTGGCTGTACATATTTTTGCATTAATATGAACATTTCAATAGAGTATTTCTTCAATTGTAAGCTGCCGTTGATTGCAAGATATACCCTTATTTCAGAACCACCACCAACAATAGCAAAAATACATAAGATATACCTGTGATTCTAAGATGCATCCCATTTTTAGAGATGTTTATACAGGGAGGAAAGTGCATCTAGAATTGAAAAAATACAATAGCATAACAGTATATTATTAGCACTATGCATATAATCATATCAAATTTGTTGTGGTGTTTAATCAATGCGCACTCATGCACTCCAGTGTTTTCTCACAATGCTTCCTCATATTAGAATCAGTAATGCAGAAATGGTACTTAAAACTGCAACCCAACACATGTTCCCAGTATGTTGTTTAGAAAAAGAAAAAGTGAAAATTACCCTGAAAAGTACTGTCTTTGTAATACATTCAGTCTATTTCAGAAACAAGGCCAGGTAACTCAGGACAGCAAAATATAACTAAACAGTTCAAAATCATTTTTGATGACATGGTTTCTGAAATCCTGTTACAATCAGAGCCACCCATATCCCTTTTCCATTCCATGGACGAAAAGCTCTTATGTAAAACAAGATTAATTACATATAGTGGTTTGCCTAAGAGAAAAAGCCCAGTGTAGCTTGGTAAAACCCTTTAGTTATAAGACATTTGTGCATTTCAGAAATATGAAGCTATGTTTTCTGTAAAAAGATATCACAAAATACATTAGAGAATATTTGAAGGTAGGATAATCACACTGCAGATCTGTACACATTTGCTTGGAAGTGAACCGAATTCATTAGGGATCCTTTTCTAGAGACAGGACAAAAAGGAAACAATGCAAATATCATCACAAACACACACAGCATACATCCACACATTGCAGTAAACCAAGTTTGAGTTGAGTAGGTTGAGTATCTCATATCCCAAAATGGGACCACAAGTGTTTGGGATTTTGGCTTTTTCAGATTTTGAAGTACCTGTATTCGCATATAATGTATGTACATAATCTTGGAGGTGACACTCAAGTCTAAACATGAAATTTATTTATGTTTCATATATACCTTATATACATCAATTAAAAGTAACATTATCTATATGTATGTTATTTTGTGTATTTAACAAAGTATGTCCACACCGATTGATGAAAGCAAAATTTGATCACTATCTCAGCCAGTTTTGAGAATTTATGTATTTTTGATTTTGGAATTCCAGATAAGGGATTTTAAGTTGCACTAGGAACACATATCAGTTGATTTTTTTCTCTTTCTAGATTTGTCTGGTTTTACAAAATTTACTTTCAAGGATACAGATGGTATTATTTTGGTAAATGCGATACCCATAACGATGTACATACAAATTAGTTTTTGTAAATGGTATGTTTTCCCATAGTAATAGTTATTAGAAGTACTATATGCAGAAATAGCATTTCAGTGGATTTAAAGTATTTCTTTAAATGGTTTTTTAAAAAAAAATGGGGATGAGAGGAGAGATAAGAGAGCAAAGATGCATACAGAAGAAACATTTCCTGAGAGTGCTTTATGCCCAGTGGAACTCTGTTTTGCTCATTTTCTCTGAGCCAGAGTGAGACGTGGGTGAAGAAGCAGAGTGGAAATGTGAAGAGGAGTAGCTTCAGCGTGATCTTTTTAAATCAGCACCTTGATGCCAATCCTTGACATCAGCCAGCCCTGACTTGTCCTAAAAAAATCTGACATTTTCTGCTAGGAAACCATTTTGTGAAAAGAAGAGAGCTGTGCATTGGAAAAGAAATACATGCAGCAGTAGCTCAGAGTTTTGGGGAAGCTGTGTGGTTATTACCTTATATTACTAAATGAATCCAAGTCTCCAGGGGCAGATAAATTACATCTAACATATTGAATGAACTAGCAGAAGTGATTTCAGAACCAGAGGCAATAATATTTGAGTATTCTTGGAGAACAGAAGAGGTCCCGGCAGACTGGAGGAGGGCAAATGTTGTCCCTACCTTCAAGAAGGGGAAAATAGGACTCAAACAATTACTGTCCAGTTAGCCTGACATCAATGCCAGGGAAGATTCTGGATCATTAAGGAGGCAATCCACAGTCACTTAGAAAGGAATGCTGTGATCACTAAAAGTCCAATGTAAGCATTCCAGAGAAATCTAGCTTTTTTGTGTGGTTTGACCAACCAGTCAATAAGCTCTTTTATTTCTCGTTGGTTCTAAAATAAAACAATCAGTGTTTGATACCACTATACAGATCTGCTTTGGAAAGGAATGTGGTAATCTGAAGCTGAGGCTCCTACACTGCCATATAAAATCCAGATTATCTGATTTGAACTGGATTGTCTGGCAGTGTAGACTCATATACTCCAGTTCAAAGCAGGTAATGTGGATTTGATAATCTGGATTATATGGCAGTGTAGAAGAGGCCTGAGATGAAGCTGGCTTAACAACAACAACAACAACAACAACAACAACAACTTTATGTTTATATTCACCACCATTTCCCCTAAGGGACTCAGGGCAGCTTACACATAGGACAAAATGTCCAAAGGACAATATATAAAACAACATACATTGAAATTAAAGTATCATAAAATACAACAACCCAGATAAACATACTGACATTAAAGGGTATAAAATAAATTGAATCGAAGCCCCATCGGACCAGGTTCAATAAAAACCAATGACCAATTAATAACATGGGCATGACCAAGTTATAAAGGGCTGGGCAAGGGATAGTGCAAACAGCGTACATAAACAGCTTTATCATCACTAGCACTAAAGTGCTAAAATAATACACTATATTTGCCTAATTTTTCTGACTTTGAATTTCTTTGGAGCCATCTCTCCATCTAATTACTAATGCTCATATTTTATCTCCATAGGTTTTCTTCCCTTGTTGATCATCACATACCTTGAAAATCATGCCTGAACAAAGCAATGATTACAGGGTGGTGGTATTTGGAGCAGGAGGAGTTGGCAAAAGTTCACTGGTCCTGAGGTTTGTGAAAGGAACATTCAGAGACAGTTACATCCCAACAATTGAAGACACCTACAGGCAGGTGATCAGCTGTGATAAGAGCATATGTACTTTGCAGATTACTGACACAACAGGCAGCCATCAATTCCCTGCCATGCAGCGTTTATCTATTTCCAAAGGACATGCTTTCATTTTGGTCTATTCTGTCACAAGCCGGCAGTCCTTGGAGGAACTCAAACCTATCTACGAACAGATATGTCAGATCAAAGGGGATATAGACAGCATTCCCATCATGCTGGTAGGAAACAAGAATGATGAGGACCACAACCGAGAGGTGCAGACCCCTGATGGAGAAGCCATGGCCAAGAAGTGGAAGTGTGCCTTTATGGAGACCTCTGCGAAGACAAATCACAATGTGAAGGAGTTGTTCCAAGAGCTGCTGAACCTGGAGAAACGCCGGACTGTAAGTTTACAGATTGATGGCAAAAAAAGTAAGCAGCAGAAAAGAAAAGAGAAGCTGAAAGGCAAGTGTGTCGTCATGTGAAGGCAGCAATCTTGGAGCATCCTTGAGACTTTCTCCTGACTATACAGGTTTTATGCCTATATACCACATAGGGAAAGTATGTGAGACTATTTTATTATTGGCTATTTGGAAAGGAATATAGTGCAACCAATCAAAAAGTCATCCTTTTATAAATTAGCCATTCATAACAAGAGTAGTTCCAAAGAATCAGAGATACCTAATTTCAGCATCCTAAGAAACAAAACTTCCATAATTAAGAACTTGCACCAGCATCACTATCACATATAAGGAACAGGAGTTAGTTCTTTAAAGATTTATGCTAATGCTATATGTAGAATTATGAAAATGCTTTGAAGATGTCTATAGATACACTTCCAAATGTATGAATGTACTGTATATACACATGCATAAGTCTAGAAATGTTATTCAAAAATGGACACTGCAAAACTGAGTTGATTTATTTAAAGGCCAATGTAAGTTATATCTCCCAGATTTTTGTAATTTCTTTGACATCATTTTCCTTTTCTTCATCCTTTGTATCCTTTGTTACATGCCCCTAAGTTTTACCCTTGACTTATTTACAAGTCATAACAAGATCCATAGTTTTGGTACCTGGACCTGCCCTTGACTTATACATGAGGTTGACATACATACGAGTACATATACTAGTGTGTGCATAGGCACATATATATCAATATACATATTTACACATATATTTGGAAGTGTCTCTAAATTTAGGATTAAGGTAAAATGGTAATGCTGAAATGCAGAATTCTGTATCTCCTAAAATGCAGGTGAACAACCCTTGGTCTCTGTGATGTATATCTCACCTTTGTGGCTCATTGAGCATCCCAGAAGTGTTTCTGTCTATATCCAGGGGTGTGGACCAGGCTTCAGTCCCTAGACCCCATTAATGTGTGGCTCCAATTATTTATTCTTTTCACAACATACATCATAGTTACTTTGTTTATTTGTTTATTTATTTATTTATTTATTTATTTATTTATCCTATTATTTTTCTCCTATCTTTCTCCCAATATAGACCCTCCATCCAAGGCCCTCCATTTGCAAATATCTCCTTTCAGACATTACTCATTAATAGTCCAAGATAATGAGAAAAGGATTAGGATTGTGGATACACTAGGGATCTCAACATACAGAGGAGGCTCCCTCTGCTTCATCGGCAATCGCCAGTGAAATAGCAGGCATACGGGGTTCCTCCTTTGCCCATCACATGTGGGAAATGAGACAAGGCTCATTGGTGCCCTATCCCTATCAGACAGGGGAAAGGGTGGCAATGCATATTGCCGCATTGCCCTTTCCCCCATCAGATGGGGAAAGGGAGAGAGAAATGTGGGTAACTTGGTTGGAGCTACCAAAAGCCATTTATCTCTCTACTGTTGGCAAGGAGGCATCTTGTGATGTTTCCTTGCCGCTTCAGGGTTCAATGGGATGGGGCCAAGCCAGCGTTATCTGATGGCACCAGTGTTATCTGATGGTGAAGAAGAGTCGTGGGCAAGTTTACCCATGTGTGATGAGGTGGTAGGAGGAAAACTTACTTTTTGTCCAAAGGGTAAACTCTGCAAGGCAAATTTCTACAGTACTTAACATGCTATTGATATATTTTGATTTTTATCTTACAACACTCATGACAATCTATTACCTAAAGGATTTAAAGTTTACATGCATATTAGCAGAATTGCTGTTAGTAATTGTAGGACATCATTATCTATTATGAATAACCATCCATTGGGGATAGAGTTTGGCATGTTTGGGTCCTCATTTAACATTCAAACTAAATTCCAGGGTGATTCACTTCTTCATAGACAAGGAAACCACCAGTTGTCAGGGATTTCAGTACCACATACTTTATTGAAAACACTTCCACACTTTATATAGTTTATGCATGATTGATACCTTCTCCAGATGATGGAGCCAGTCAAATACACCTCTGTGAGTCTTCATCCCATTTCCCAAAAATGATACCAATTCCCAAAGCTAGAAGTTATCTCATTTTCTATTCTTCCTCTTGATTGTGATGCACTGAGACTGCTGTTAGAAAAGGGCATTTTCTATTTCTGTGCTCTTCCTAAGCATAGGGAAGGTATTTGTATAGTTTTATATGAAGTCAGCTCTCTGTCTGACTGGCAGAAAATGCACCCACTTTAGCAGGACAATTATTCAATATGCAACCACATAATTGGTTTGTTCTATTTGGAAGGTGATGCTTCAACCCAGGAAAGGTTTTTATCTTTTCCACTTGGGAATCTATTCAGAAAACTGGCAAACTAAATGACAGAAATATCATTTGGAAACTAGGCCAAGATTCTGCACTGAAGAATAACTCCATCAATGCAATTTCATGTTCTCTGTCCTCATCAGCTGCTGCCAAGGGCCAGAAAGAACTGGAGAGCCAGAAATAGGAGGTGATATAGATCATGAAGAAGCAGTTGGTCTCAGCTTATGGAGAAATGAAACAAGGGTGCTTTCATGGATGCAGTACATTTTCCTTCTCTTTCAAGCAGTCATGTCTTCATGGAAAGAATGGCCTCCTATTGCTTCCCTTTCCCACTGATAAACAGCAGCAGCAGTTTTGGGACCCAGTACCAGGGCAAGAGAATAAACTCCAGTGCCCTGTCCAAAAGGAGACACACATATATGCATGCATGTGACAGCAGGTACTATTGGTCAAGTTGTGAAAAGGGTCAGAACTTCAAGGAGATTCTGTTTGGCTCCCTGGGGAGCCAAACAGTGCTTCAGCCATCCATGCTCTCTGCTTTCCCTTCCCCCTTACCTATTTATTTGGGTAGTAGAAGCCATATGGGCCAGCTCCTACACACCTATGGAGCTATTCTTTTCACAACATTTCCTCTGCATCCCAAGCCATATATGCACATGGAAGCCACATCAAGAGCCACCTAGATGGACAAAACCTCATGCTATATGTTACTACTCTGTGGTGTTCTTGAAACTAGCTATACTCCAAGTCTTACTATATAAAATAGTATCATGATTTTATTATTTCAAACAGTTGTACCCCATCCTTCTCAACCCCTGAGGAGGGGACTCAGGGTGGCTTACACCGGCAACAATTTGATGCCATCACACAACATAGCAATAGAACACAATTTAAACATTGATTAAAACATTAAATATAAATAGGCAATTAAAAACATTGTTAACAATAATATGGCCACATCCAAGTTTGACTCAACATTCAGGGACTTAGTTCAAAGCCTGTCCTTTTCTGTTGCCTACTGCTGGTTAAGCAAAGTACCCATCTTAAATTTGAAGAATGTCTTTTGTATCACTAGGTACAGTTTTATCCTTCTTGATTTGGCTCCCTTCACCATGATTGTTTTGGACAGGAGCATGTGGGAAGGGGTTGCATGCCAACCTAGTTACATTTGGAATAGTGCCACTAAAGTCATTGGCATTTAAATTAGTCAAGAGTAAATCAAGGCTCATTTTCAGTGGGTCTGCTCACTCTAAATGCAGCTAAACTTGGTTGTCTAATGGCAGTACATTCACATTAATGCTAAGGCACCAAGGATCAATGGGTGGCCTCTGCAGTACAGTACAGTGAGACCCTGGTTTTCACTGGTGTTTGGTCCTAGGACTACCCCTCCCCCCAAATTCATGGATGCTCAAGCCCCATTATATACTATGGAATAGTAAAATGGTGTCCCTATATAAAATGGCAAAATCAAGGTTTACTTCGGTGGATTTAAAAAAAATTTCAAGTTGTGGRTGGTTGAATCCATAGATACAGCAGGCCAACTGTTTAATAGTTCTAAAATAGAATAGCAGACAGCAGAAGAAGGAGGGGCTTTAGCAAAGTGTGGCAAGATATTTATGGATGTGTGGAAGGGGGGGGGGTTGGTTAAAGATCCCTAGCATGGCAACTGTGACGTTACGAGGGTGCCCTGTTTTCATCATCAGAACATCAGAGGGTTTGTAACTGTGAGCCATCCCACAAAATATCCTTGTTCCAAGAGAACTACCAGTAAATATTTATGAAAATGCTTCAAAACATTTTTACATTTTACATGGATAGCTCATAGGCATGGACTTCTTCATTCTCTCTTACTCAGGCCACCTCTGCACTTTTCTCTCTTACAAATATGCATCATCTCCCAAGAGAAAGCTGGCACAAATCCTTCTTAACTTCATTGCAGCTTATATAATGGGAAGAAAGGTTCAGTTTGCCTTATCCTGAAATGCTCTCAGTGATTGCAGTCCTAATCCATTTGTAGCAACTCAGAGAATCAAATTTAAACATTGAGCTGCTCTATTTCAAAATAGTTTCAGATAATTTTTCATGTAAAGACCTGTCCTGTAAGTCATGGGAGGTGGGGCTGGTCTAATGTTATGCTGTTGTTCCATGTACAACCCCCCTTTTTGTCACAATATAACAAGCCATGGTTAATGTCTCATGCCCTTGCATTTTATCAGTGCAGGGCTTGCAGACAAGCAATATTTATTCCTGGGCCAGTAATTTTGAGGAGGATACATTTTATAATATACCCTTCTGTTGTCCTTGTAATTTATAATAGGTTTTACATATATATGTGTTTATCGAAATATTCATTCTGCTTTGCTATTACTGATATAATTTTTAAAAAATGTATAGAAAAGAGAGAGAAAGGGAAGGAAATTCTTGGGGAAAATAATTATACAGCTTTATTATATTTTGTGGTTTATTTCCATGTGCAATAGTAATAGACATGAATTGTTTAAAAATCTATGTACACAAAAGGATGACCTGTTTAAAACCTTCAGAGAATTTTAGCATCGTGGCAATATTAAATGGATAAGTATGCTGCTCACAAAGCATGAATTTTCTGTACATGAGCAAACTCTTAAGATATATAGCTGTTTAGTGTAATTTATTGTTGCAGTTTCATTATCTAGTTATCATGTAATTCATGTATAAGTTTCATGTGATATTCTGTATATAAGATATGGAAAATAAACATTTTAAATTACAAACATTACTCTTTTCTTTTGATTGCTGGAGCATCTGGTATAGCTGGGAATGCAGCATTCTAAAAAAGCAAGTGTTCCTATATCACACAATCCCCTTTTGTTGAGATGTACTTCTCTCTGCACCTCAGTGTCATAGGGCTTCATTGCAAAGGCCAGGCGAAGCACCTTGCTTCACCTGGCATTGCTGAGAAAGAAGAGGGGTAGTGGGGGGAATCCGTCGCCCCACTCACTGCTCCCTCCCGGCAGCTATTTCCCCATCACATGGGGGAAACACTTCCCTCCCAGTGAGGTCCTGTGCTGGCTCCATTGGAAGCCTCCCATGTTGTTGGGAAAGCATCATGTGATGGGCGTTAGGGGTCTCCATCTATTAGACAGGGTGAAAGCATCCTAGGATGCTAATTTCCCTTCATCTGATGAGGTCTTAAGACCAGAGCAGGAGTCATGCCTCATGGGCACTATTTGTGGCTTCCACCCACTCTGATCTTTCCGGCTACTCTTACTTTGGCAATAGACTCTCATGGAAGTCTCTAGAAAAGTCTTGTTAAACTGATTGTAGAGGTTCTCTGCACTGTTTAACATTAACAGTCAAGATCCTGTATCGAGACCTGTGCTGTGTAACTTTATGACCATGGGACTCTGATATGCAGCCATGTCAGAAAATTACATTGATGTAGAAGGGGGTTGCATGCAACAGGGGTTTCTACTATATAACGAGATGTCCTATTGAATCATATAACCAAATACTTTGCACAAAAAGACAATGAAAGGAGGACACAATTATCTGTCAGGGTTCAGAACACCTGTGACTTTCCACTGCCCTCCATTCGGAAGTACCAGCACCCAAATTACTTGGCTGGGGACATTGTTTTATCTCCTTGCACAGCTATTTCATAAGGGCATCCTGTCCCATGAAGGATCAGTTCCTTTTGCATCACAACCACAGCATTATGTCCATAATGTTTGCTTCGCTTGTGCAATGGCCCAGATAGCACAGCTATGACAGAGCTCCCCAGATTGGGATATGACCATTCCACAGCACTGCAATTTTAAACTGCACAATCATGAACTGATTTATGATGCCATTTTCAATGGAATGCTTGCTTATTTATTTTTCTTTTTTTAAAACAACAACAACAACAACAACATCAGTAGTTGTTTGGTTGAGAATATGCAAAGAATCCAGTTTCAGCCCACATTTCAGCAGGCTTATCTACATCAGTACTTTTCAACCTGACCATCAGAGAGGTACAATTTGCACTTTGGAGTTCACCTGTCGATGGCAGTGGATGCTTCTGGAACAAATATACATATATTGAAAAACTGAGCAGTAAACAATGCAACACACAAAATACTGATTAAAACTGTGTGAATCACAGGCAGAAGGTAATTAAGCAATACGTATCTTTAAAACATGCATAAAAGTAATCATCCCTATTGATGGTGGTGGTTCTCTGACACTGGAATATTCTCCTTTGGAGCATTTGCCACTTACTCAGCTTTAACATTTTAAAGTGACACACCAAAACAAATCATTGGAACCCTTTTGGGGATTCACATATGGTTAAATATTGTAGTTTGTGTTTTATTGAACAACTCCTCAAATCCTCACTTGCTGTGAAAGAACCGCTATATTCAATGAAAGCTATGTTCCCCTGGACAACCGCAAATCATCTCACTGTCCCAAATTCGCTTGTGAGTGATCTCCATTGCAACAAGCAGAAGCACGTTCTATGTTGCAATTCCTCCTTGTGCCTGAGGGTGCTTTCGGACTGGGCTTAAATCTGTGCCGAAGTGGGTTTAAGAAACCTGCTTCTGCGAGGGTTTAAATCCCCATGCCACAACAACAACAAAACCTAGGCTTTCCAATGATGATATCCAGAAGCCTCCCCCCCCCCCCCCCCCCCCCCCACCACCAAAAGCACTTATAATTAAAAAAACTTACCAGGAGGCCATTAGGTTGCTCCGGCAGTCCTCCTGGTGCATAGAAATGAAGGCTCGAATCTAATGGGGTAGTTAATTACTTTGGGACAAAGCAGTGTTTACCTGCTTTCTCCTGAATTAATTTGATTTCACCTGAGGCATCATTTGGATGTCTCAGGTAAAAACCGGACAGGCCCTGCATTTTGGGGCCTGTCTGGATGGGCCCTGAAATTGTTTCTGCAAAATAGGGTGGGACTATCAGACCTCTATCAATCAAAGCTAGCAGCTGGGTATGGATTGTGAATACAAATCAATTACAAATACATAGACTATGGCCCCTTCTACACTGCTAAATAATCCAGAGTATCAAAGCAGATAGTACACATTATCTGCTTTGAATTGGGTTATATGAGACTACATCTGTTTAAAGCAGATAATCTGGATTTTAAATGTCAGTGTAAAAGGGGCCCCAGTCATACATTTGTAACTGCTCAATAGAATTCCAGTTACAAGTGGCAACTCAACATGTGATCAAAGTCAAACTTCCAAAATCTACTTGCAGTGTTCTTTTTCTTTTCTTTTCTCTTTCAAAGACTGAGTGGGTTACATTTCCATGCTTCTGTTACTTTAATTGTTGCTGTTTTCTCAAGGCTTTCTCTTAGTTGCTCTTTTTTTAATTTCCATAAATTGTTTGTTCTTCTTTTTGTTCTCGTTAGCCACCCACCTAGAAAATGTTATGAGGAACAAGACGACTGACACATAGAACATTAAGTGAATGTATTTCTGTGTACTTTGATGAACATACTTTACTTGCATTTCTTGGGATTCCTATCTTTTAAAAAAATAGTCTATTTCTTCTAAAGCTGCAAAGCAAATGATAAAAAAAACAAAAAGGAAAAATTGTAGGCATAAAGAGAAAAACTACAATAAAACAGCAAAAAAGCACAAAATATTCATGGAGAAAAACTGAAAGTGGTATTAATCTAGCACAGCATTGTTCTCCAGGTACCTTTGAGATGCTTCAATTTACATCTCACAGTACTTTCAGTTAGCCGAGCTATTTCTCAGGAAGTATGGGCATGCAGTCTAACATACTTGGACTATACACTCTACATTTTACAAACTGCAAATGTTGCTTAGAAATGTTACTTTTGTGAACTACAACTTCTAGAACCACCTATCTATCATGGTCTTTTAAAAAAGGAACATTTCCAAGATTAGAAACATGGTAGGGAGTATGGCCAGCAGGCCCTTATGTCTTCTTGATATTTATATCTCTCAGCAATGTGAATTTAAAAGATCCTTGAATGAAACATCTGAGATACATTGGTTGCACTGTAGCTCAGTCATTCAGACAAGTATAATTTGGCAGCTGTCATGTCCACATATGGCAGTCAAGGCAATGTAAATCAGTCAACATTTCAGTGCCGTCTTCTGTTACAAACAGCAATTGACAGCGTATTAGAATATTTCTAGAAATTTAAAAAAATCCAAAATAATACTTTTCCAAACTAAGAATGGCACTAATGGGACCAAAAAATTACACTTAGACCTAAAATATTTAGGATTATTCTTCAAGAGACAACTCATGTACAGGATTGCAACTGAAATTTGTAGAAAACAGTCTTTAGAAGGGGAAAAGTGGGAAATTACTATGACTGTTCTTGGTATTTTGTTTCAGTTTCTGCCTAGAATTAGCACAATGTGGACAATTTGTATATGGAACAAAATGTAATTAATTTGCCAATACCTATATATCAGGTATATTAAAAAAGCAGCCCCTGAAGCCCCTTTGCAGTCCCTCAAAGCCCACAATGCCTGGCTGATGTTTCCTCATTTTCAGATTCTTATGTGGAAACTGGTAAGTATATTTTATGATGTTGCCTCATGTGCACACATACTTAACAAGTTTTTCAGTCAGTAATTCCACACTTATATTTATTTATGTATATATTTACGACATTTCTACCCTGCTTTTCTTAATCCCGGAAGGGACAAAGTGGCTTTACAACATAAGTAGCTATTCGATGCCATTAAAAAATGTAAAATTGCAATAAACATTTAAAATAGGATTATAAAATACATCAGAACATTTAAAACATTAAACCAATATCATCACTGTTAAACCACACTATTCATAATCGTAATCCGGGCCATTCCAATAGTCCTCCATTATAATTCTGTATTTGTCTATTGCATAGGTTCTGAAAAGGCTTGATCAAAGATACATGCATCCTTAAATGAACACATTTTGTATATGTATCTGTACCTGGAAGTTGACTGATGAACTCAGACTGATCTACTACTGCCTTGGAACAATGGACTTCATTTGTCTTTTGACTGGAGAGAACTGATTGAGAGGCTACTGCTTTCATCTTCTTTAGTATCAAAGAGAAAAAATATAATGAAGGATAAAGCTTCTTGTTGTATCCCTTCAACTTGTTTCCAATTCATGGTAAGCTTATATCACAGGGATTTCTTGGCTAGATTTGCCTTCACTTTCCTCTGAGTCTAACAAAGTACAACTTGCCCAAGATCAACCATGGCCAGACAGGGATTTGAACTCTGGTCTCTAAAGTCCTGATCCATAACCCAGACTTTTTTGCCACACACAAGCTTTCAGAAAGCAATTTGTCTCGGTCATTTTGTTGATAATTGGGAAAAGGAGTCCCACTTAATGGTTGGATCTGAACTCAAGCAAATGCACGTTGGCCAAAACATATCCTTTCACACTTAGTCCTGCTGTTTCATACAGCAAGCTTTTTAAAATGAAAATTTGGATTAGCAGCTATTGATACTTCTGGAGGCAACAAAAAGAAGGTAGCTAATAGCATATATAAAAATAGAACAGATAGTAATCCAAGTGCAAGATTAAAAATGATTAAATCTCAGAAGCCAGGTGTCAGCTACTATACATAGAAGACTGCATCTATCTGTAAAAGTTTGCTGAAAATTTTATTTATACTGGCTTCCTTGCTAATAATTGATTCCCCCCTTGATTTTTGGAGAGCTTTAAACCAGCCATTAAAGCACTGAAGTGCTTTAAAGTATCTGTTTGTTTTTGAATCTTGCATAATATGGTC